AGACTGAATCACCCATAATTTGCTCTTATTTCTTCTCTCTGAAAGCAGACCAAGTCTTTGTCTTTGTCTTTTTAATACATGGGAGAGCTGTGCCTTTGGGGCTCTGAGATTTGCTCTTCTATATATATCCTGCATGGACTGTGGGCACCTCTACTTTACTAAAGCTTCTAATTTTATCTACAAGAAGAATCACTGGTACTTGCAGCAATCAGTAGTATTTAAGAACTAATAAAGAATGAAGGCCAAAGACATGACAAAAGGCAGTTTCTTGTGATTTATGTCAAATGAAAAACGGGAAAACACAAACAATTTCATGCTGGTAGCAGGCCTCTGCTTTGCCATTTCCTCTGGTTCTCCAAAAGTAAGTCCAGTCACTCCTCTTCAGGATAAAAGAGACTAAAATATCAATATTCATTATGAATCATGACCTGGATGAGTTTAATTATAGTTGTCCTCTGCAAGAATTTCTGACCTTTTAAGAAAAATTTTCACAGTGCCAGAATTTTGGATGAGACTTAGATAAGGATAATCAACGCTATTACATCAATGTTATGGTTAAAATCAAGATAACCTTTTTCCTCATGGGTCTGTATGATTTCACACTATATCTGCATTGCCGCTCAAAGAAAATGCCACACTTTGGATTAAATACTATTGTGTGAGGAGGAGGAGAGGCATGTGTCCTCCTTGTATCTTTTTTGGCACACTTACATTAAGCCTCTTCTTACTATTTAAATAGTTGCCTAAAGTCCCAACTTCTGTTTTACAGTGGCAGCCAGATGCCATCTTTGGGCCCCTCTTAAGAGAAATGGAATATGATGTTAGAAAATGCAACCTATGTAATGCAATAAACTTCAAGTCTTTCCTCTCTCTCTCCTCCTGAACATTGTTGAAAGGAATGTCCTAAAGTGTAATTGTTCAGAGTTGAACTGAATTGGAATTTAATTTATTTTAATTGAAGGTAATTTAATTTAGGCACCGCCCGACTCCAAACTGACTCTGGGTGGTGGAAGAACTGACACAGCACCTGCTTTGAGATTTGCAAAATTAATTAATTAGTTTCTGTAATTTATGTCTTGCTGATCTGCAGAAAAAAATGCAGATATTATTAGACTCCAAATAAGAAAGCCACTAATAAAACTAAACTGCACAAAACGAAGACTGTTACAATAGGAAAACACCATTATGTAGCAGTTACTGGGACCAAGTTTTTAAAATCCTGATTAAAAGCTCTTGTCATTCCCATAGAAAAGGGT